GACAATTTTTAATGGAGTTATGAGCAATTAAAGTCAAAATAATTCTTTTATTTAATCCGCGATAACTCAGTAATCAAAAGTCGTAAGAATATTTAAAAAAAAACGATTTTGTAGGGAAAGTATCAAGCTTTCACGATATATAATTTACACTGAATTATTTTAAAGCATTAAAGATCTAGCTTTGATCGATATATGTAGGCTTCTAGTTTATCGATTGTGTTTCACACATTTACGATCTGAAATAATATTCTTTTTGTTTCCTACAAAAATTATAGAGTTTTAAATGATCTATTCACTGCTTTAGTCAGTCTGACCTTGAGTGGCGTCGCCAAGGCCATGTCAAGGTCATATCAATTTTTTTAAATAGCACATCTTATTTTTGATTCTAGAGTTTAACAGCTAATATCAAAAACTTTTCAAAACACTACAATAAAATCATTTTTCATGAAGTACTTGTCGAGTTATGTGGCTTGAAAGTCGCAGTATCGCCAGCATTAGCATCCAAGATGTCCAATCAATTAAAATCTTTTAAATGTTGTTCAGGATCATGTCCTGGATAATATTTGTCAAGATTAAGGCTATTAAAAGTTATACCTCTTATTTTCATTTTTACGTAAAAATGAGCTAGTAAACAAAAAACGTTCCAAAACATTTCAATAATATTGCAGCAATGTTGTAACATTACTGAAATGTTTCTTGCTTAGTGGACAATTTTTAGTGCAAAAATGAAAATAAGAGATATATAATCTCCAATGGTCTTGATCTTGACAAATATTATCGAGGACATGATCCTAAACAACATTCAAAAGATTTTAGCTGTTGATAGGACATCTTGTGTAATGCTAATGCCGGCAGTACTGTAACTTTTAACCTTGAAAAGTATAAAATGTATGCTTTCCAAAACACTACAATGAAAAATAACTTTATTGTAATGTTTTGAAAAGCTCTTAACTAACTATTAGATTCTGGAATAAAAAATAGGGTGTGCCATTTAAAAAAATCAATGTGACTTTGACCTGACCTTGGCGACGGCAAGGTCAGACTGATTAGATAAGTGCATAGGTCATTTAAAACCCTACAACTTTTGTAGAATTTCTTTCGGAAATGCTTAGTTTTCGAGATATTTTGCCGATCTGGAACTTTTTACTCACCCTATATATCGTGTGTAAAGATCTGTTAAGATCTTAGAAAGTTCCATTCTTTATAGCTCTTTCCTACTATTTTCCTTACTTCTCGCTTGAAGAGTAACTACTTTGTTCATAATGTATAAGAATACAATAATTTCCTACGATACATTTATTAGAATCAATTTCTCTTAACAATTAAAGCATAAATGTTTATTGAAATTTAGAATATATAGTGCCCACCAAAAGTACTTGGGTTACTTAAATAATTTCTGTGATTCAAGATATAGGATTGGAACTTATAAAGATACAATAAAATCATAAAATCTATTTTACCTCAAAAGCATATTATACTTTAACATCTCCAGGGGGCAGTGGCAGAAGAGCCATAAAATTTTAAATGGCATATAAGGGATGTCGAGTGAGGAATCGTTTGAAAGAACTTTTTGCGAAGAAACTAACGTGAGGTCGCCGAAGTCTCTATGATTCTTTTCGCAGAATTATTGATGTTATCTAGATTTTGAAACAACGAAAGCCACGATGAGAAAGATAAGGCTTCGCATGAAAAAACATGTTTCTGAGTAAATGGGAGAGCATGCCGTATGCGTGCGTGCGTGCGTGCGTGCGTGTGTACATGTTCAAATAAATGCTGTCAATATATGCAATCAATAAAAGATAAGCTAAATAAATAACAATAAATAAAGGGCAAAGTAAGAGTCAAACACATTTTTTAAATTGTCACACAATTAAAAAGAATAAATTACAAATAAAGAAAAATAAAGAGTAAGTATCGCAGAAAGATTGTTACGAGTTACATTTTATATTTTTTGAATTTAAACTGAGTTTTTCATTATTTTCTTATTTTTACTTTTCTTTATTTGTAATTTATTCTTTTTAATTGTGTGACAATTTAAAAAATGTGTTTAATTTTATTCTTTTAATTAATAATTTAAAAAAATAAGCTCTTTCAGTTGTTTGTAATAATAAGTGGTTCGCTCTTGCTTATATATAGTGTCCACTTGTACATTCTGTATCCTCTCCACGTACTACTCATGCTGCCAGGATCAAATTATACCTGGAGTTAATATTTTAGATAATATGATATAATCGTATTTGGGTAATTCTTTTACAAATCGAACACCTGTCTGATCGACACCTCTTCGATTTGACTGAAACTTTTTTTACGGATTCTATGTCGAAAAAAAAGAGATACGTGTCTGAGGAATTTTTTTTTATTTGCATATTTTCGATAATACAAGTGACATTTGAGAATGGCAAGTTTTTTTGGCTTGGAGACTCATTTTCATAAATCCATAGGTCCGAATCTTTAAGAGCTACAAAATTTTCACCAATTGCACTTTTGTAGCTGAAGGACTGAACTGTAAGAAAAAAATTTTTTTTACAAAAAATACTAACAAATTTATATTGTTATTAACAATTTAATTGTTTAAATCGATTTTTAACAAACGCCCCCAAAACGAATCAAGTTTTTAGTATTTTTATCGCATTCTCCGTCAAATTTTACGTCAAAAACATGTTTTCAAAATATGGTACCTTTTCAATTATTATTGTTAAAATATTAATTTATATAGCGCGTAACGGCCAAAAAAACGGTTTTTTGCTAATAAAACGAAATCTGTAACTCGTATCAAAAAAAGTTAAATGTAAAAGTTGTAGATAATTGACAGATCTACAACTTTTCTCGAAAATTTTTTTTGACATAACCTCAAAATTTTAAATTAAATTGCAAAAAATGTTAAAAATCAGCTTTGTAACA